GATAAAGATGAAGGACACAGCTGCAAGAAGCCTACACAAGTCTAGGGACTGTACTAAGTTTAAAAAACACAGACTGCTCTTTGGGTCATAAAGTTCTTGTGGGTGAAGGGATATGTCTAGCACCGATTAATAATTGTGTGCTTGCTGTTTTTTTAAAGATGATGTAATTGAGCCGGGCAGTGGTGGTGCACGCCTTTAATCGCAGCACTTGGGAGGCAGAGCCGTGCGGATCTCTGTGAGTTCAAGGCCAGCATGGACTACCAAGTGAGTTCCAGGAAAAGGCGCAAAGCTACACAGAAAAACCCTGTCTTGAAAAACCAAAAAAAAAAAAAAAAAAAAAAAAGATAAAAAAGATGATGTAACTGAATTATTGCCAAGCTCTTGTTGTTCCTTGTATGACTGGATAGTTTTATTTTCTGTATATAAACTACTGATTTGCAGAAGTAAAATTGCAGCAGATTCAAACCACTTCTGAGTGTGTTGTCTGTCATTCGCTGAATCCTTGCCTTCCTGACTACCCAAGCCCTGGTTCTCCTACGGTCGTGGTACCCACGGTGGGCCAGTCCGTGGCAGCAGGGACCACTCACAGGAAGAACAGGCCTAGACCTCCATACAAACTAAAAAAACAAGAAATAAACAGAGAAGATACGATGAAGAGCCATGGCCAGGTCAGAGCACAGGCTGACCTGTCACAGCAGCCCTGGCTGCCCACAATCCTGGGGACAGGACAAGGCTCTTTCATCCCAGTGTCCCTATGATCACAGACTCTCAGCATGTGGTTCAAGTGATGAAGAGAACAGAGCCAGGAGGTGACAGAGCTGAGGAGTGACCATGTCACAGCCAACAATGGACTGAGCTCCACCTGGGCACAGGTCTGTTTACACTCAGCTCTTACACCCTCATCTTGTCCATCAGATACACATAGCACAATGAACACAGATTCTGGAAGGTTCTCCATGCTGCCATTTATTTCATCCACAAACTCTAAGTATTTCAATCATTTAATTTATTCATCAATCCACCTGTCAGATCAAGGACATGAACAACCAAGTTCACATTCAGATTCTTATTTTCAGTGGGGAGTCAGGGGCTGCAGCTCAGGGCAGCATGGAGGTGACAGGATGGAGATGTCCCCTCCTGCCTGCTGGACCAGGAAGGTTGGCTGTGGAAGGGAACACAGGCAGTGCAGGGACAGGGTCCTGGTGTGCAGGGGGGGCTGGGCTCCCTAGTTCTTCACATTGAGCCCACAGGGTCACAGGGAACATCAGACACTGTTGCTGAGAGTGAACTGAGGGGCTCAGGACGTCACAGGAGAGACCTGAGCACATCTCTGTCACTCTGTTAGGACGGGCAGCTGTCTTCATGCTACAAACAAGAGTCATGAACAATCACTGTGAAGACAACATCCCAACACCCACCATTCACTCAAAGGGGGTTCTGGAAGTCCCTGAATCCCAATCATGTCCACTTTCCCTCCCCAAATCAGTCCCCAGAGTGTCACCTTTACAGTCTGGGAGAGACACATCAGAGCTCTGGGCACTGTCCCTGCCTAGGGTGAAATTATATATAGTCACGGGAAAGTGAAAACATGGCCTATAGAAGACTTCACTGGAGGAGGTATTATGGGTTGGCAGAGCTCCCCAAATACTCCAGCTTCACCCCAAGGGCCTCAGGGACAATCCTGCTCCCCACACTTACCTGAAGCTGGAGCATAGTTCCCTCTCTTTCCACCTGTGAGGAGAAAAGCTGTGAGAGACCAGGGAAGACCCCAACCCTAGGAAGTTTCCAGAACTGACAGCAGACCCAGGTCAGAGACAGGAGCAATGAGGGGTGTGGATGTTTCCCATTAGTGAGGCAGAGCACACTTCTAAAAGGGGCTGAGAGAGAACCAGACCCTGACCTTTCCTACCTGTGTTTCTCCTCCTCTTCCTCACAAAAGCCACCACAGCTGCAATGATCACAGCTCCAAGGAGAACCAGAACAGCAATGATTGCCATAATGGTGACCATGGACTGAGGAGGCTCTGGAAGGGAAGGACAGGAGGGGAAGTTGGGGGTCATGACCTCAGCTGTCAGCGCTGATCCTGCTCAGATTCTCCAAAAGGCTCCAGCTTCCCCTGACCCCAGCTCTGCACCCACGCCTTCTTACCCCATCTCAGGGTGAGGGGTTGTGTCAGCCCCTCATGGACCACATGGCATGTGTATCTCTGCTCCTCCCCAGAAGGCACCACCACAGCTGCCCACTTCTGGAAGGTTCCATCTCCTGCAGGCCTGGTCTCCACCAGCTCCATATCCTGAATCAGATCCTCCCCATCCCTCTGCCAGGTCATGGAGATCTCAGCAGGGTAGAAGTCCAGGGCCCAGCACCTCAGGGTAACATCTCCTTTCAGTACGGGGTGATGGGTCACATGTGCCTTTGGGCGATCTGTGTGGAAAATTTAAGAAATCCCACAATTAACAAGATAAATGGATATCTGCAAAGACAAACTTAAACCAATGATGACACTAAACTGTGTCTGTTTGGACAATTCTGTCACCACACTAGTGACCTCAGGTAGAGCTGGTCCCCTTATCACAGAATTGCACATTTTCTGGGGGGACTCAGTAGCTAAGAGGGAATCCACGTGAGCCAGCAGGTCAGCATGGTCTTCCTCATGTGATGTTCTATAGCATTAGTTAAGGGGTAAAAGAATAGAAGGAATGGAAAATAATTAATTTATGTTATTAATTGATATCAAAATAAGAAATCAGGTACAAGGGCTACATGAAGGGTGCCACCAACTCCTGCTGCCACCACTGAGGCACAAACACTGAGGCCATCTTGCTGACCAGCATAACTGTCCAGTGAACAGCCATCACCAAAGTGTGCAGCAGAAATGTGGTAAACCTCTGACACTCAGCCAGAGAAAATGAGTCCCCAAGCCCTGCCTCTGGGGACAAGATACAAGGTATTGTCACCAGGATCCCTGGAAGTGTGCTGTGGAGCCCGGGGCAGCACTCCCTGGGACACAGCGGTGCTCACAGGGGTGTGTGGATCGTCCCTGTCACTCCTGTCCTGGAGCCGAGAAGACCCTGTCTCTGAGGAAGTTCAATTCCTAATCCACTGGGACAACACTGTGACTTGTTGGGACTGAGGGAGAGCAGGAGGGCTCTGGATGTTAATATGGCAGAAAATAGACTAAGCTCACAGGAGCCTTTCTAGTGTAAAGGAAACACTGACATGTCTAATTATTCAGATTAGCAGAGTTGTGTCTGCCCCACCCCCCACCCCCGGCTCCTGTGGAGACTGATACAGATGATAACACGAGTGGGGTGGGGGACACAGTATCACCCCCGTGAGGGGGGGGAAAAAACCTGACTAAATGCAAAATGACAACTTAAAAAAAAAAAAAGAAGGAAGAGAAAAAGAAAAAGGTCCCCACAATTTAGTATTCACCAGGGCACCCCATAAGTGCTCACGTGGCCATTCTGGGAATAGACGGAATTGGGGTGTGAGGGATGCAAACCTCACCCACAGGGATATGGGAGAATGTATCTTTGGAAATTTCTAGAAACTGTGGAACCAGCCTAGGGTAGGGGCGTCCATGTCTCCCATCAGGTAAAGGAGACTTCCGGTCTGACGTGTAAAGCTGACACACTCAGATGACAGGACTCAGTTTCCACAGACCCTGGTGTGGGCAGAGACCCCGGCCTGGAGAGGCCATGGCTGACAGCGGCTGCAGACTGCAGGAGCCACTGTGGTTAGGTCGGGATCTCCTCTCCCTCCTAGAGACAGATTTGCAGCTGTCCAGGAGAAGGCTGAGCCCTGGGGATCAGTGCGGTCCCTGCCATGCTGGATCAGGAGACCCAGGGACACTGTCTGCCCTGAGACAGGGGCATGACCCCAGCTGAGGGGTTTCTTCTTCCCCAGGACTGAGCCCAGCCCGAGGGCAGAGGGAGGAGCTGCCCGCGGCCCTGCACCTGTGCGCTGCAGTGCGTCCTTCCCGATCTCCAGGTATCTGCGCAGCCACTCCACGCACTCGCCCTCCAGGTAGGCCCTGTGTCTCTCTGCCTCAACACCCTGCTCCCACTTGCGCCAGGTGATCTGCGCCGCCGTGTCCGCCGCCGTCCACGTCGTCAGGTCGTCGTTCAGGGCGATGTAATCGCGGCCGTCGTAGGCGTACTGACTGTACCCGCGGAGGAGGCTCCAGTCCGACCCCACTTCACAGCCATACATACTCTGGAGGGTGTGAGAGCCTGCGGGGACCCTGCGGTCAGCCACGCCCCGCGGTCAGCCTCGCCCCGCCCACCCTCGGCCAGCACCGCCCACCCGCGGACTCCCCTAAACCGAAAGGGAAACCGGGTCCCGGTCCCCGACTCTCCTCCCGAACCTCGGACCCGGGACTCGGGGCGACCCCGGCCCGTACGTAGGGACGAGGAGGGGTCGTGACCTTCGACCCGCGTCACTCACCGCCCTCGCTCTGGTTGTAGTAGCGGAGCAGGGTCCTCAGATTCACTCGGAAAGTCTGCTCGGTGCCCTTGGCGATCTGTGTGTTCCTCTCCCAATACTCCGGCCCCTCCCGCTCCACCCACGGCGTCCGCGGCTCCATCCTCGGAGTCTCCGCGTCGCTGTCGAAGCGCACGAACTGCGTGTCGTCCACGTAGCCGACTTCCATGTACCGGGGCTCCCCGAGGCCGGGCCGGGACTCGATGGTGCGGAAATACCGCAGCGAGTGCGAGCCTGGGG